TTGGTACATTTTTCCATTCATCCTTCCTTCAATGGCATGAAGTTTGCCAGTAACGTATGCAGGAATACAGCCCCACACCATGATGTTCCCACCTCCATGCCTCACTGTTGGGATGATGTTTTTGGGGTGATGTGCAGTGCCAAACCTCCGAACATGGTGTGTATTATGGCATCCAAAGAGTTGAATGTTGGTTTCATCTGACCAGACTATATTCTCTCAGTATTTCACAGGCTTGTCTAAATGTTGTGCAACAAGCTTTAAACGAGCTTCAACATGCTTTTTCTTCAGCAATGGAGTGTTGCGTGGCGAGCGTGCATACAAGCTATGGCGGTTGAGTGCATTACTTATTCTTTTCTTTGAAACAATTGTACTTGTTAATTCCAGGTGTTTCTGAAGATCTCCACTAGTGGTCCTTGGCTCTTGGACAACTCTTCTGATAATTTTTTCACTCCTCTGTCAGAAATCTTGCGAGCAACACCTGGTCGTGGCCAGTTTATGGTGAAATTATATTCTTTCCTCTTCTAGATTATGACCCCAACAGTGCTCACTAGGACATTCAGAAGTTTAGAAATCCTTCTGTAACCAATGTCATCAGTATGTTTTGCAACAATAAGGTTGTGAAAGTCTTGAGAGAGCTCTTTGCTTTTACCGACCATGAGATGTTTCTTGTTTGACATCTTGGTAATCAAACACCTTTTTATAGGCCATCAGTTGAGACTGAACTAGCTGCTAATAATTTGCGCTGACAAGAGGTAGGATTGCTTTCTAATTACTGATAGATTTCAGTTGGTGTCTTGGCTATCCATGCCTTTTTGCACCTCCCTTTCTTCATGTACTCAATACGTTTTCCCTGTGTCATTCCATTTTATTACACATAACTTTCTTTATATATATGGATTGAATGGATTGTTACCGACATGTGGTGAAAATGTCATGTCAATAGCACCTTTAAAAATATATTTACCTAGAAAAATGGTGACGTGTTCAATATGTATTTTACCCACTGTATATTTATCACTCTATATATTTCAAAATATTAACTGTAAAGACATACCTGACATTTCCTTGTGACACAAATTACTTTTTCAGAACCCTAAGATGTTTTCTTCTTATTTTAATTTCTATCTCATTCACTTTAATTCACTTAGTATTTGTAGTGTACTAAACTAAATTAGATTTCACATAATTTACAGGAAGATATTCCAAAATGAGCTGAAAATCATATACATGTTAACCACTTGTCTACCTGGGCATTTTTTATTTTTTTGCACACATACTGTAATTTGCATTTTTTGCTAGTTATTACTGTAACCCCCCAAAAAGTATATATTTTCTGAAAGCAGAGACCAGGGAGAATAAAATGGTGGTCTCAAAGGCATATTTAAGGAAAAAATCTACTAAAATAAATTAGGTACAAACACAATATTATACACTTTCTTTGGAAAATATAAAAGATGGGTTATTTTAAGCAAACTGATACCAAAAATATCCAGTCTTAAAATTGCACGTGCCCGTGGGATTGCAAAAAAAAGTGTCCAAACTTTTTCATAGGTGATGCTTTAAAAGCAATTACAGATTATCAGTTTAGAGTTAATCGTGGCCCTAGAATTATTGCTTTCACTCTGACGTTTGTGACAATACCTCACATGTGGCACAATTGATGTTTACATACACTGTGCTCACCCTATGTTATTTTTTCTATGGGGTGTGTACGAGGGTGATGGGATGCTCTCTGCAGGAGCAATTTTTTTATTACTATTTTTATTTATATTATATCATTCTTTTTCTAAATTTTTTGTCGCTGTTTTAACTTTATTGCTATCACGTGGGTGCTAACAAGCCCCCTATATGATAGCATGAGCAACTGACAGGTACTCTTCACGAAGACAATGAGGATCTGTTAAACCCCCAATGTCTCCCTGGCCCTCCAATGAGGATTTTCAAGCACAGATTGTGCTCGAATAGCTGCATCCTTGGTTACACTAACCGAGGAATGACAGATGTGACCCTGGAAGGGATATAATACACATCGGGGGTCCTTAGTCACAGGAGAGATTAGAGAATGGATGTTCCCTAAATTCCTCCTGTTCTCACTGGGCAGGCTGTTTCCCATGATCACAGGTTCCACAGAGGTATGGGAGAGCCTGGGAACCACCGCAAGTACCGGTAATGGACAGGGAATGTTTGCACACTTTCAGAGCCCCATAAAAGTGATAATTTTTTATCAGAAACCCCTGTGATGGCTCTTAATGCCGCGACCATGCTCAGAGCTGCACCAGCTGTGAATTTAATTTAACCACTTGTCTACCATGCTGTTTATAAACATACCTTGGTAGATGGGTGGTTAAGCGAGAAAAAGTTCTTACAGTGGTTTCATCACTCTTCCTCAAAAAAACACTCATAGGGGGTTATTTACGAACACTGGAGAGTACAAAATCTGGTGAAACTTTGCATAGAAACCAATCAGTTTCCAGGTTTTACTGTCAAAGCTTAATTGAACAAGCTGAAGTTGGAAGCTGACTGGCTACCATGCACAGCTGCCCCAGATTCTGTGTGAACCAGTTTTAGTAAATCTCCTCCATGTCAATAATAAAGAAACACTACCAGCAAAGATTTAGGTCCTAATAATATAACTGGATACTAACATTTATAGGTAATGTTGATCCAGGGAATATCCAATTGCCTCTCGGGGGATCAGGAAGGATTTTGTTTCCCTGTAGGAGCAAATTGGATCATGCTTTGCTGGGGGTTTTTTTTGCCTTCCTCTGGATCAACTGTGGGTATAGGATTATAACTTTTTCCTTTTTTTTTAATGGTTGAACTGGATGGACTTTTGTCTTTTTGGAGCCAGACTATGTAACTATGCAATAATAAAATTATTAAAGAAATCATTATAGTAAAAGGACAGTGGGTTAATTATAGTATTTAGGACTGAAATGTTAGAAAGATTATAACTAAATCATGATTGATGACTTTACAAAAGATATACTGTGATTGAATATTTTTACTCTTCTGCCTCAGATTTAAAATCGGATGTAAATGATAAATGAAAGGTAAACAAGAGTCCACCAATGATCATTTGACCAACAAACACCAGAAAATAGCCACTACAGGATGCTTGTGGTTTTCGGGCCCTAGTCAGCTGACCATTTACCAAGACTTCCCTTCCCTGAAAACTTCTTATTTTATCATCCTTACTCTGCTGTTAGGAACATAACATTTTAAAAGTAATAAAGTATATAAAACAAGATAAAATATTTAAGATACCTGAATTTTGCAGTTAGTCCAAGGGCTGAAAAATTCTTGTAGTCACAGACAGTGTTTTCTTAGAACTGATTGGTAATGCATATGCTCTCATTTTAGACTTAAAAGTGGCAGGAAAGAGGGGGAAGAGGAGTGGTTTCATGAGCCTCAACACAGCATCGCAAGCTTGATCACTTTTTAAGATACAGATATCCTAACACCTGCCTAATTCACAGAACAACCCATTATAAAGCTTGTGTCTGTAAGAATAAAACGCCATATACAAAACGTTTACCCTTATATTTTACCTTCTGTAACTATAACCATACATAGACAGAAAGTACTGGGTTTTTTTTTTTCATTTAATTACCAAGTTATTTTGATAGATTTTTTGTGGAAATTGACAATGTACTGGAACTGTTATTCTCACCTATAAATATGATTTTTCAGCAAAAACTCAGTAAGAGAGTCACCAGCAAAAAGTGTACCAATAAAGCTATAATACTATGTTTAAAACAAAATACTACTTTTAGTTTGTTAACTAGTAAAGAAAAAATATTTCAGTATGATTTCAAAAAAGAACTTGTATTTATATTGTTTTGCCCTTTGACCACCAAATTACTAGTAATCTTTGATTCTACACAGCAAATGCTGACTTTTTATTATTGAAGTAGACATTTTAGACTTGCCTAGCATAGAGTGAACTAGAATATTTGCCCAATGGACCCTTACTAGTTCATTAACTTCCCTTCATCCACTTTTGATCCCATTTTAATGAACTGTGGTGTTGCAGGAGGGCCTACCCCTGTGACATCATTACCTTAATCACTTGAGGACCGGTATAGTCAGCCCCCTTCCTGGCCATGTCATTTTTCAGATTTCAGAGAAGTGATACTCCAAGGAGCTTTCAAGCTATCAAGGGATATAAATTATGCATCTGATTTCCTAACTACCTATCACATTTCCAGGGACCTACTTTTTAGAAATCAAACACCCCGAGGTATTGCTAAGAGGCACGGTGAAACTTTTAAAGATTAAATTTTTTGCTACAAGTTTTTTTGTAAAATAAGAAAGAAAAAGAAAATGTATTTTATGCAAATATTATCAATATAATAAGACATTTCTCACACAGCATGGGCATATTTAACCACTAGCCTACAGGGCACTTATACCCCCTTCCTGCCCAGGCCAATTTCCAGCTTTCAGCGCTGTCATACTTTGAATGACAATTGCGCGGGTCATGCAACACTGTACCCATATGAAATTTTTATCATTTTTTTGAGACAGATAGAGTTTTATTTTGGTGGTATTTAATCACCTCTGGGATTTTTATTTTTTCTTAAAAAAACCAAAAGCCACAGAAAAGTTTGAAAAAAAAAAGTTTTTTCTTAGTTTTTGTTATACAATTTTGTAAATAAGTGATTTTTCTCCTTCACTGGTGTGCGCTACAGTGATGGGCACTGATAGGCTGCACTGGTGGACACTGATAGGTGGCACTGATGGGCACTGATGAGGAGGCACTGGTAGGTTGCACTGATGGGCATTGACAGGCATCACTGACGGGCACTGAAAGGCAGCACTGATACATGACACTGATACATGACACTGATATATGGCACTGATATGTGGCACTAATAGGCAGCACTGACTGGCACTGATAGGCGGCACTGACTGGCACTGTTAGGCAACACTGACTGGCACTGATAGGCAGCACTGACTGGCACTGATAGGGGGCACTGACTAGCACTGATAGGTGGCACTGATTGGCAGCACTGATAGGTGGCACTGATTGGCATTGATAGGTGGCACTGACTGGCACTGATGGGTGACATTGAAAGGCAGTTCAGATGGGCACTGATATGTGGCATTGATGTGCATTGGTATGCACTGATATGTGGCATTGATGTGGCACTGATGGGCACTGGCACGTGGCACTGATGAGCACTGACTGCTAGCACTGATGGACACTGACAGGTGGCACTTCTGGGGCCACACTGATTATCAGGGCACACTGATCATCAATGCCCTGATGATCAGTGTACATGTGCCCTCCGCGGAAAGCCGATTACCGGCTCTCCTCACCTCTCGATCTGTCAGCGTGACAGCTCGAGAGGAGAGAAATGCCGATTATTGACATTTCCGTGTTTACATGTGATCAGCTGTGATTGGACACAGCTGATCACATGACCGAGCCAACATCTTCGGCTTTTTCCGTGATCCGCTGTGTCCGAGGGACACAGCGCACCGGCAAAGGACGTCATCAGAACGATAGAACCACCTTGCACCCGTCATTGTATTATATGGCCTACATGCATTTTGCTGGATTAGAGTCTAAGCATGCTAGCAGGCACCCTAGTGGACAGGAGGTTCTGGTAAACCCACTACAAATACCTAGAAGACCCTGGTGGATACACAGTATGCGCTATAAGAACTTGCATTTTTGTGGGTCTTAGTAATAAGGTGAGAGCATTGTGAGCACTGAGGTGCTTAAGATGAAACATTATGGTTCACGGCAGTGACTCACACTGGCGTTCGGATTAACAGCACTGGAGCTTTTATGCGTGCACTGGATATGAACCTATGTTATAGATTTCTGCTATGAAGTGAAAAAAGATAGCACAAAGACTGTACATATGATTGACAAGGACATCTCTTTGGCACATTATTAATGTATTGGGTTTTTTTTGTTATTTTCCTGTGCATATTTTGGTTAACCCCATTTTGATCACATCACAACATTTATTATTGGCATTTGTATACATGTAGGAATGATAGTATATAGCAGTGGTCATTAAATGGTGGACCGTGGTCCGGATACGGACCAAGGGACAGCCCATCCGGACCGCAGCCACTAGATGGGGCTGTCTCTTTCCTGGACGAGCTGTCTCTTTGCTGGACAGGCTGTCTCTTTGCTGGAGGGGCTGTCTCTTTGCTGGATGGGCTGTCTCTTTGCTGGAAGGGATGTCTCTTTGCTGGATGGTCTGTCTCTGCTGTACGGGCTGTCTCTTTGCTGGATGGGCTGTCTTTTTGCTGAATGGGGATGTCCCTTCTTGGACTGGGCGGTTTCTTTGCTGAATGAGCTGTCTCTTTGCTGAACGGGCTGTCTGCTGGACGGGCTGTCTCATTCTGGATGGGCTGTCTCTTTGCTGGACGGCTGTATCTTTTCTGGATAGGCTGTCTCTTTATTGGATGAGCTGTCTCTGCTGGACGGGCTGTCTCTTTGCTGGACGGGCTGTCTCTTTGCTGGACGGGCTGTCTCTTTGCTGGATGGCTGTCTCTTTGCTGGATGGGCTGTCTCTGCTGGATGGGCTGTCTCTTTGCTGAATGAGCTGTCTCTTTGCTGGATGGCGATGTCTCTTTGCTGGATTGGGCTTTGCCCAGTTGGCTCCAGCAAAGAGACATCCCAATCCAGAAAAAGAGACAGCCCAGTCCAAGAAGGGACATCCCCATTCAGCAAAGAGACATCCCTATCCAGCCAAGAGACATCCCGTCTATGCTAAGTATTTGCTGTGTTGTTAGGGGCGCTGTGTTATGTTAAGGGGTGCTGTGTTGTGTTAGGAGCATTGTGTTGTGTTAAGGGGTGCTGTGTTGTGTTAGGGGTACTGTGTTATGTTAGGAGATGCTGTGTTTTGTTAAGGGGCGCTGTGATGTAAAGGGGGGCAGTGATGTGAAGGGAAAAGAGGACACTGTGGGACGTCTTTAAAGAGGGGACTGTGATGTAGAGGGGACTACAGTGTGAAAGGTATGCTAAAGATCATAATGTACCAGGGGACTGTGATGTGTTATATCGCTAACAAGATTTGGACCTCTGCTAGAAGGAAATTTTGCTAACTGGACCTCCCTAAATTATAATTCAAGGCCCCTGGTATATAGTATACTGTAGTTATTCACTGTATCACTCTGGTAGCGCAGCAGTATTTATTTATTATCTTTAGAAGCCAGGTCTTCCTAAAGGCTTATAGATGACATATGAATTGTAGCTGGCAAATTGAAACAAATAAATGGACTGATACTGGTACTAGGTTTTAATGGTATTGGTGCTGGCTGGTAGCATCCAGCACACTTGTTCTGGCTGACACTGTTTCTAGATTTCACTGGTACTGGTGTTGGTTGGCAGCAATCAAGACACCAGTGCTATTTGATGACATTGTACTGGTTCTGGCTGGCAGCAATCAGGACACTGGTTCTGGCTTACACTGGTATTAGATTTCACAGTTACTGGTGCTGGCTGGTGACATTCAGGACACTGGCTAACACTTCTACCTAATTTCACTACCAGATTTCACTGGTACTGGCATGGTTGTGGATCGGGACACTAGTATTAGATTACACTGTTCTGGTGTGGCTGGGGACTAGATCAAACACTGGTACTCGATGACACTGTACTGGTATGGAACATCAAACACTAGTACTGTATTACATTGAATATTGTTTTCTGTCAAACAATATAATGTTATTACCATTACCACCTTGGGGGGAGTGTTAGATGGACTAGCAGATTTAGATACACTAAACAAACTGAAACCAAACTCCAGCTACAGCAGTTGTTCTTTCTAGGATAAGAGTTTTACATTGTAAGCACCCCTTTCAGTGATAAAATGATTTGTCTTAGCCCTCTAACTGTTTCATCTGCAGGACATGGGCTTTTGAAAAACAACAGACTTGCCGGCCAAGTCACCAGGTTAAAATAAAAGAAAGAAAAAATGAATGCAGTCACCACATCTAAGAATTAGTAAGCTGCAATATTAATTTTTTTAATTTAATATCTCTTTAACACAGATGCCCTCTCCCTGTCACTTGTGACCAACTTCCCCTGTCCATCTTTTATGAGGCCTATATGGTCTGACCTAGCTTTCTTACTATTAATATATTTGAACAAAAATCTTTGGATTTTTCTTTACTCTCCTCAGCAATGTATCTCTCATAGTCTAATTTAACTACCCTGATTGTGCTCTTCCATATCTTATTGCACTCTTTGTAGTTTTTGAATGGTGATTCTTTTGTTCTTACATTTATTTTTTAAAGGACAATTGTTTCTCATTAATACACCTTTTTACATTAGCATTTAGCCACTCAGGCTAAACTTTTGTTCTTTTATATTTGTTGTCCAGTGAAATGCACTGATGTTTGATGTTGCGTTACGTACAGAGAGCAGGATTCAGGAGTGCGTTTCATACAGAGTACAGGATTCAGGAATGTGCTATGTACAGAGTGCAAGGTTCAAGAGTGTGTTTCATACAGAGTGCAGGATTCAGGAGTGCATTTCATACAGAGTGCAGGATTCAGGAGTACGTTTCATACAGAGTGCAGGATTCAGGAATGTGTTATGAACAGAGTGCAGGATTCAAGAGTACGTTTCATACAGAGTGCAGGATTCAGGAGTACATTTCATACTGAGTGCAGGATTCAGGAGTGTGCTTCATACAGAGTGCAGGATTCAGGAGTACATTTCATACTGAGTGCAGTATTCAGGAGTACGTTATGAACAGAGTGCAGGATTCAGGAGTGCATTTCATACTGAGTGCAGGATTTAGGAGTACGTTATGAACAGAGTGCAGGATTCAGGAGTGCATTTCATACTGAGTGCAGGATTCAGGAGTACGTTATGAACAGAGTGCAGGATTCAGGAGTGCGTTTCATACTGAGCGCAGGATTCAGGAGTACGTTTCATACAGAGTACAGGATTCAGGAATGCGTTTCATACAGAGTACAGGATTTATATGAGTGCATTATGCACAAAATGCAAGATTCAAGAGTGTGTTTCATACAGAGTGCAGGATTCAGGAATGCTTTACGTACAGAGTGCAAGGTTAAGGAGTGCATTCCATACAGAGTGTAGGATTCAGGAATGCGTTATGTACAGAGTGCAAGGTTCAGACATTAGTTAAACCGCAAAGACACCAATTAAACATAAACTTACGTTCTGAAATGTTGATTAACAGCATACAGGAGCAAAGGCAAGAATGCAGGCATTAGATGGATAACAAATGAGTGCAGCCGAGCAGGACCTGCAGCAGTGTGAACATCTAGCACAGTCAGGGATTGGCAAATAAGCCAACAGGGGTATGACTGCAATGAGAGAGAGTGCAGCTGTCAAATCCAACCTGTGATGTTGGGGATGGGTGGGACTGATGTGTTTTCAGGGGGTCCGCCCCCTTTTAAAAACAGCCCGTTCATAGGGAAACAGCCGGCATTTATACAGTGCCAACAGAAAGGTGGCAAGGAGCAGGACCAATTGGAACTACTGCATGTGCACCCTTAGCGGTGTATAATTCAGGCTGCACATGTAGTAGTACCAATTGGTCTTGCCCCTGGTCACCGTCCTCCCTGACCAGCAATGTATAAATGCCAGCTGTTTGCCTATGCAGTGCTTGTTTGACAAAGGGATTGGAGCCCCTGAAACACATATCGGCCCCGCCAATCCTTGATATTACAGGTTGGAGTTGACAGCTGCACGCTCTCTCTCATTGCGGCTGCAGGCCCCACTGGCTTGCCCACCAATCCCTGGCTGTGCTAGATGTTCACACTGCTGAAGGTCCTGCTTGGCTGGAAGTTAGCATATAAAGAATAGAAGGAGTAATGCAGGACAAAGCCCCTGTACACCGGGACCATGGGGCAAAGGTGAAAATGTGGGAAAGTCCCGCCAAATCCTGGACTGTTGGGAGGTATGCGAGTGGCACTGGCACAGCACAGATGAAGACCATCACTGTAGAAGGTAGGGCAGCAAGATCGATGCTGCTTTTAGCTTTATAATGTCTAAGTCTGACTGGCTGTGTATATTATTGTACCAATAAAAATATCACAAACGAGTGCTGGGTAAAAACCAATCGGAGCAGCTGGCATAAAAGGCGAACCTCTCAAACCTTCTAATCAATATAACAGTACAATATAAGATACAATAAAAGTGAATAAAAACCAATACTAAATATGATAATAACTAGCCAACAATGTGAGATGCTACAGAGTGCCAAATGACACAATCAAGTGGATATAACGTCCAAATATGATGTATAAAGTGCTCAAGCTGAAGAAGTAAATTATAATTGAGTAAAAACAGCAACCGCCTTAAGGTGCAAACCCATGATTCCTATGATATTAAAATGGATGTATATTGCACTAACCAGAAAGCGCAATATATTGCGCATTTGAGTAATTCAAACCAATCCTGGTCATCTGGATCTGGACAGCAG